TGATTTCAATCATCCACACCACTCTGTGTCAAGTTTTTCTGATTGCTCCTTACTGGCTAGAATAACCATGGTTTCCGTGGCTGCTCCAGCTCCAATCTGCCCCACCATTTCGTCTTCCTCCATCCCTTCTACTTCTACCTTTGTCACCAGCAATTCATCAAGCCCTTCCTACCCTCTGTCTTCATGTCTGGTTTTTATCTGGTCCTTGACGAGAAGATCCAAATTGTCACAGTGAATCTTTTCATTTTTAGCATTCACCCTTCCTCTATAGATTTTTTATCAATGAAAGTGGAACATTTTCCTCCATTGGTCTTTGGGTTGGGGATTTTCACCTGCTCGACCCACTGTTACTCTTCTTATAGATTTCTTTACTTGGATGTTTGATCAGAGGACTTCAGTCTCCTTTATTGCGGGTTATTGGTCTGCCTTTCATTTTTCCTGGTATTGTAAAGTTTTTACCTCTCCTACCCTCTCAGTATTGTTGCTTTCTTTTCAGATTGGGATGTTAATATGGTTCTTCTCTGCCTTACTGTACCTCTATTTGAAAATCTGTCCTCGTTTTCGATTTTTTCACTTATATCTTAAGACTTATTCCCTTCTCCTCATGGGCTGTGGATGTTGTCAGTCGGATTTATTTGCCATTGACGTTTCATGTACTCTGTATCATTCCACATATGTTCTACTTTATCTGAATCAATCTTTCCTTCTCAAAACTTGAGTGGCTCCCTTCCTTCCTTCCATTTCCTACCTATAATCCTGGTCTGATCTAGATAGACTATTATGTACTGTATGTGCTCTTTGTTGTTATATTGCCTGCACATCTTCCTTCCATGTTGCCATTCCAGCCTCTTCATTCCATGGCAACTGTCCTCTGTTCATGACCTTTTTCCTTCCACCCTTAACAATTGGATATGGCATTTAATTTGATTGGCTCATTATTCTTTGTCTCATTCTTTCCATAATTTGTTCCAGGTGTCTTCTTACCAGATTAGGCACCTTACCTTTTCTCTGACATCTCATCTCCATTGTCCATTAGAGGAAATTCTTCAATCAGGCCTGTGGACCACACTGCATGCATACATCTCTCAATCTCTACATCAGATAGCTGTTTCTTCCTCATCAGGTTATCATCTTCCGCCTATTTCCATTCTTCATATTTTGGTAACACTGTGACTGTTTAAGTTTTCTTTTTGTTTATATACCTGTTATATTTCAGAGGCATGTCCCTTTTTTCTTTAAGGATCCTGCTCTGTGGCTAGTGGTGCCTGTCCAAGTATACTTAAAACTAGTCAAATCCACACTGTAAGGTCATGATGTCTTAAAAGTTATAATTACCAGGGCCACAAAATGCACACTGTTCAGATGGTGTGTTCCACAAGAGCGCTTGTAGGTTTTCCTCACAATATATTTGCTTCATTAATATGCCCTTTCTGGACCAGACTAACCCATGGACTTCATGGGTAAATCAGAAGGGGATAGCTACCCATCCATAACATTCCGTAGATGGCATAAATCAGGAGTGGTCTGCTTTTCAAAATAGGGTTTTTCATGGTCACCCATTACACTGTCTCTGTTGTTGGCGTTCCTCTGGACTGTCTGCCACGTTTTCTCCCCCTATTTCTTCTGGTGGAGCATAAGAGTCCTTACCACTTTCCAGTTCCAAGCTGCTGGAGTGGTAGACCATGAAGGCATTCTCCTGAATGTGACTGATATATAGGATGCAAACAATAATGAATCTATTCCATTGAGAGTAGGGAAATGGTGTTCTGCTGGTGTAGATAATGAGATGTTTTCCAATTTAATACTTCATCTCTGAACAGCTTTATCCGAGGGGATATTGTAGCTTTGGAATAAGCCATCGAAATTGCAGTTCACCCCTTTGATTGAGATCCCTCATCCTAGCCCCACATGGATATTGGTTCATAGTGGCTGGATTTTGGATTCAGAGCTGGACCAATCAACATAAGTCCTCACACATGTATTACAGGTGTCTCTGTTCCCTTACTCAGTTGGACTCATGTTCACTGCTACTGTGTTGTAGAACATGGTGGATGAACATGCAGGTTACTACGGTTCTTCCTCTTGTGCTATCCCCTGAAGATTTTCATATACTGAGGATGTTACTGCAATGGGGTGGTTCCTGTGTGATTTGATTTGAATAGAATATTTCACGATACTTTATTATTCATATCATCCAGATGTCAGGTTCCCAGATTGATGAAACATTTTATCACTTTGCTATCATGTGTCCTGTTCACAGATTGGTGAGTATGATATCTCCTTCCAGTCTGCTGAACTTGAGGTAAAGATGGTATGATTCTCTTTCTTACCCACATATGGATGTTGGTTTCCAGTGGCTGGGTTTTAGATTGCAGTTGACTTGCTGACAGTATGATTCTCTTTACTGCCTCCCATGGATGTCGGTTCCCGGTGGCTAAGTTTTGGATTGTACTTGACTTACCAAAAGTATGATCCTCATCCTACCTCCACACGGATGTTGGTTCTTGGTGTCTGGGATTTGGATGACCTAGCCACTCTACACCTTGGGGCACATCCTTTTTACTCTCACCCACATTATTGCCATCAAAGGGACTAAGATACCTATACAACCATTCTTCTGTCCATTTTGGATGTGCTCCTCCCATTTTCCATTCATGTTTGCAATACTTCTTTCCAGTGGTGCAGTCTCCCATATATGATCCTCTAATGTGAGGATCTCCCCTTTTAGGGTATTCGTTGGATGCTTCTTTTTTTCCCTCACACTGGTCCTACAACCTATTCAGTGTGGAATTCTAGCAATATCTGTGAGCATATGAAATGTGCCGTATCGGAAGTTATATTTTCCATATAATGAAAATGTATTTCTGATAGGTACTTACCTTCTTTCACACTTCCCACCCTTACTCTCCACTGAAAATCAGTGCTTCCTTTTTCTGACAAAACTCAAAATCTAGAAGGAGTCACATTTGTTAGGAGGGTATATCACACTTCTATTGGTGGAGGGTTGTCGCATGATGATTTAAATGCGAGTTGCAGTTGAACCACATTGATTGTTGGATACGTGGACTCAAGGCTAGTGGCATGCAACAAAAATTTTGCATATAGAGGCCAGCACTAGACAAGAGTAGCTATATCTGTGAGAGTGGAGGTAAGTACCTATCAGGAAAACATTATCAATAGAGGAAAATTATAACGTTTACAGAAAAAGAATGTTTGAAATGTGGTTAGGAGGTTTTAAAGATTACGCAAATGAAATTTGAGATTTTTGAGATAACAGAAAGTATTTTTAACCTTAGCATGAAAATCAATCATTTTGCACTCAGACTGGTCAAAAAAGACTTAATATAATGAAAGACAAATCTTTAGTAAAACTACTTCATTAAAAACTGATTTTTTTGTATTCATGCAACTTGTAATGTTTAGTAAAAGTCTGCTAAAGTTTGTAAAGTTACACATACTGTATTAAAAGTTGTAGTATTAAAACTACATACAAGTAAAAATGGTCACATGGTTGAAGCCCGTACTGAGAGAGTTTGTGACCACGAAAAATGTGAAAAATACATCTTGAACTGTTCACAAAGTGTAGAACTTTGCACAAATGAATTAAGAGATAGTCAAATGAACCAGACACTCCTAGGTCTACAAAGACCTTAAGCCCAACACCAACCACACAAGCTTTGGTATATGAAACTAAAAATTTTCACTGTGTTATTGGAGGTCTCGAAGACAACATACAAGAGAAAGGAATGATTTGTACATTATGTTAAGCAACAAAGAAAGTGATTCACAACTCTAGTTGTTTTGCTTCACAAATTTTGATGTAAACCGAGGTATTTTGTCCCCTGATGTGCTTTAGTTAGCATGTGGTTTTGAGTTTTTGATACATTTAACCATGCTGGAGAGGCATATTCAATAACTGGATATATATATGTATTATATATTCTGAGTATGTTTTCTGTTATTGCCATCCAGACTCCTAGGATAGCATGCTCTTTGCCAGATCTTTGTTTTGAAACTCTATGTGTGCTCTGAACAAGTTAATTTTGAGTCATATATTAACCCTAGGAATTTGTCTGATGTTGCTACTTGGAAAAGAGTTACATCTAGGTATAGGTCTGGTTTATTCCTGCTCGTTTTAATAGATTTAATCCATATTATAACTTGTGTTTTGTGTGCATTAATTTTGTTCTCCATTTATTGTAGAATTCATTTAATAAAGGTTATAGGTTGTGTGCTGGTGTTGTTGAATCTTGGGAACTTTTTCAAATAGCCACATAATCTGAAATAAAGTTTCTTAATTCAATTTTGAGTGCAATTCTGTAAATGTTGTGTCATGCGCACTTTGACTCCCACTTATATCCACATGGTTAATACTCAACTCATTTTACACCAGACTCAAATCACAACAAAATACAATTGAACTTTTTCCAACACTTGTAAAAATATTAAATGATGCTAACAATTCGAAAATCCCTCCACGGTTATTTCTGAGGGTAGATGACACCACTAACTGATGTTAGTAATCTGAATCACCAACTAGAGAGAAACTGTATTCTTAGACACACACACACAATGAATGTGCATCCTTTCTCCAGTGTACCTATGCACTGCTTTTTAAACAAGTCTATCTTACAATGATAGACTGAAGGAATCATATTCACCTGGCATGGTTTAACGTATTGATAAAGACCTAATAAAAAAAGGGACGTAAGTGGGTGTAGACACTATAACTATAGCAGATAACTGAACTCTCAAATAATATAAATACCACTATAAGTACTAAAAAGTGAAATGATAACACAAGCAATGTTGAGTGAAGTTCAATAGTGATTAGTGTCATTAAGAGTATGTCGGAGTGATTAACAAGAGATGATTCTTTTAGGAATGTGTGAAATTTTGTGAGTCTTAATGTGTATCTGATTTCTCTTGCTACATTTATACATTTTTATTGAAAAATGGTTCCTCTCTTAATTTTCACTGCCTTACTCTCTGTCTTCCAGGACCCTGTCTTGTACACTGGACCACTACGAATTAATCTTGATCCTAACCACAGCTACACTGATGAAGAAGTTTGGAGGGCATTAGAACAGGCCCACCTTAAACCATTTGTTTCGTCTCTTGCTGAAGGGGTCAATTTTCAAGTTTCAGAGGGTGGAGAAAATATGAGGTAAAAGGGAATTTAGCTTGTATGTACTCAAGAGTTTGTTAACGTGAAATATTAGTAATTTCTTTTTTATATACATATACAATATTTAGACAGGGATCAAATTAAGCACTCATTTACATGAAATAGATATTTAATTCAAAAATATGATACTGTGAATGTTATAGTAAACCTTGTGTGAAAGGCAGATCAAACATACTGATGATAAAACTTCTTTGCAGTGAAATTAATTTTGCCATTTCACCAGACATTTTACATTTTACCATTTAGGATGAAGATTTTTAGACACCCTTAACTTTTTTTGGGGGGGTGGGAGTCAAATACCCAATAATGTTCATTGTAGATATTGATACATCAATATGTGTACACGCATTTCTCAGGTTATATACAGCTATGAATATATATATATATATAAATTTGCATATATTTGTGAAAATTAAGTGACAGGTTATACAATAAGAATAGACATCATGGTTTAGTCAAAACTGTCATACAAAATATATACAGTACTTGCAACACATTATGCACAGTAATAATACATACAGCTTGTGCAGATAATATGTCTAGTGACGATATTACAGGAACAAGTAAACAAGTGACTAAATAGTATCAACTGAACAAGATAAGATGATACAGTTAACTTGATAGAGCTAAATGGGATCAATTAAACAAGATATAATAATGCCATGACCTTTAATAGAACTAAAATGTATCAACTGAACAAGGTACAATGATAGAATGAACTTTGTTAAAACTAAATAATATCAACTGAACAAAGTATAGTGATGCAGTGAATTTTCATAAAACTAAAAATTATAAAATACATAAGGTATAATGATACAATGAACTTTGATAAAACTAAATAGAATCAAGTAAACAAGGAATAATGATAACCTGAACTTGGATAGATCTAAATAGTATCAAAGTATAATAATGCCATAAACTTTGATAAAAGTAAATAGTATGAACTGAACAAGGTATAATGATACAATGAACTATGATAAAAGTAAATACTACCAACTAAAGGTGGTATAATGATACCATGAACTTTGATTGAACTAAATGGTACCAATTCAACAATGTTAATTGGTGTTGTGAACATTGATAGAACCAAACATTATCAGCTTAGTCAGGTATAATGATGCCATGAACTTTGAAACAACTAAATATTATCAGCTAAACAAGGTTTAATGATGCCATAAACATTGAAAAATCTAAGTAGTGTCAAATGAACAAGTTATGATGGTACAGTGAATTTTATACAACTAAATAGAATCAACTGAAGAAGATGTAATGGTGCCATGAACCTTGATAGAACTAAATGGTATCAACCTAATAAGGTATAATGATGCCATGAGCTTTGACATAACAAAATAGTATCAACTGAACAAGGTGTAATGATACAATGAACTTTAGTAGAAGTAAATAGTATCAACTGAACAAGTTTTAGTGGTACAAGGAACTTTGATATAACTAAATAGTATCAACTGATCAATGAAAAATGACACAATGAACTTTGATAAAACTAAATATTATCAAAGTATAATGATACCATGAACTTTGATTGAACCAAATATTATCAGCTTAATAAGGTATAATGATGCCATTAACTTTTATAAAACTAAATATTATCAGCCAAGCAAGGTCATAAAGGGAATTTGAACTTTGATAGAACTAAATAGTATCAGCTTAATAAGGTATAATGATGCCATTAACTTTTATAAAACTAAATATTATCAGCCAAGCAAGGTCATAAAGGGAATTTGAACTTTGATAGAACTAAATAGTATCAGCTTAATAAGGTATAATGATGCCATTAACTTTTATAAAACTAA